ACATTGTCCGCACAAAAAGGGCAAATGTCATGTCTGATGAAATGCTTTCCTTGCTGGACATTTGCCTAGTACAGTGATACTGCTATATAATTATATTGATAAAAAGTGAAACATACTTTGAATATATACTGTATGTTCCTTTACAAAGTAAGCAATAGTGCACGATGAGTTTTTTGAAGAACCGGCCAAGGAAATTTTGTGTGAAATCTTCAGGTCACAACACAGTTCACCCTAGTCTCTTTTTTTGCGTTTGTTGCCCAGCCACATGTGAATTATGGCTTCTTATATTATCATAACATTATTACAACATTTGTGATGTCCGCCACTAATGGAGAAGTGTCAGTATAACCACCCAACTCGTACCTGACAAAGTATCCCAGCCGCACCCACGTAAAAAGATATTTTCAGACTTGGACATCTGGCCTCTGTAGCTCAGTTGGTTAGAGTCCTGGGCCCGGTTGTTCAAAAGCCGATTAGCTTAACCCTATAGGTTAACTTAAAATTCAAAGGAAACTTCCTCACAGCTTGTTTATAAATTTGGAAATATTTCTTCACAAACCATGTCTGGATCAATAGAAGTTTTCTTTTCTGACATTTTGAAGTAAATGGACATGCAGAAATATGCAAACTAAAACAGTGGGTTAAATGTTAAACCTGGATTAGCGCTAATCCACCTTTGAACAACCGGCCCCAGCACCGAAATCGCAGGGCTGCAGGTTCGATTCCTGCCAGGGGCCGGTTGTATAAAACTCTTAATCACTTTTTAATCACTATTTTGTAGTTAAATAGTGATTAACTCTCAAATACGCGCTTCTTATTGGATGACGTTTCCACTAACTATAGTTAACTTTAATCACCTTTTTATACAACCGGCCCCAGGTGGGTTCGAGATTGAACGCACCTCCTCCTAGCCAATAGGAAAGCCGCTAATACGCTAGGTATGAGATAACAAATCTCTTCAGTTTTTTTATACACCCTGTATACAGCTAAGTCTTTTTTTTTACGTTTTAAAAAACGTCTAGCCTCTAGGCTGCCGGCAATGTGAAAAACAACAAATAAGAACTTTTTATTATTACATTACATCAGTTATTCCGCTCACTTCCCATTGGGGCTTTCAGTGACCGATTTATACATCAAGTATTACGCTCATGTTACTTAGGCTAGACTATTTATCTTTACAGCAATTGAGATATTACTTTTCTAACTATGTTTATCCTAACCCACCCTGTCAACTTTCCCTGTGGGAGGAAACTGGAGCACTCGGAGAAAATCCACGAATTTCGGCAGAGCGTTGACTGACTCTTT